AATGCAGAGTGCCACAGAGAGCAGCACAGAGCAGGCTCAGGACTAAAGGACACCTACCACTGATGGAGGAATCACCTACTCCTGCTCTGAGTTCTCTGCCAATTTGCGATGTAACCGGCGTAGTTAAAAAGCACTTTGAGACTTGAACACTGAGAATGACAGTTTATGTTAAAGAACAAGCAAGTGAAAAACAGGTTAGCCGCTTAATAAAAATATGTCATTGATTATTATGTTTTTAAACAAGGCCAGGCCCATTCTCTGGACCACTAAACCGCACTGAAACAGAGCCCTCCCCAGGGAAAAGATGATCTTCATTCTTACCATCAACTGCTCTACATCTGGAGACTAGCTCCCACAGCACCAGTCCCATTGCATACATGTCTATTCTCAGGAAGGCGTCTCGTTGGAAGTTGATTGCTCCCTCTAACACTTCAGGAGCCATATACCTCCTTGTTCCCACCTACAGAGAAAAAACACAACTCAAGTTACATTCCAGTTGGGCCTCTGCTGGTTGGAGATGAGTGACAGTTGGTTTCATTAGCCTTAAGGCTACTTCTGCTAAAATTGCACCTCACTTGAAAAATAAGCAAAAGGGAGCTGTTTTTTCTGACACCGATTCTCATTAAGATCACTCGATTCTAGATAAGCTACCTGAAGGAAAAAGCCAAAGTGCACGGCTACATGTGTGATATTCATTCAGCGTACGCTACAGGTCTAATTAGCATGCAGCATGGCACGGTGAGTATGGATGAAATCCTGCCTTCCCTGTGTCCCACTGCATCTTGCTCCAGCAGCACATGCTGCATGAGAAAATGCTGTCTTTGGAGACACACAAAACACCCTGAGGTCAAGTCAGACTTGGTTATCGTAGTTGTTGAAAGTTCAATCCCCTTTAACTCCAAAAAATTAAATATAAAAAAAAACCCCAAACAAACCAAGAGAAGAGTAAAATAGATATATCCTGAAATGGTAAGAAAAGGTGTTGGTTTGACAACCCTGGGTAAAACAAGTCTCCTGCATCCACAGGAGTAGCAAAGCATGAACCCTGCAAAGTCTACCCTGCCCTGGCTTGCTCCAATCTGGTTTGGGAAAGATCCCCTCTTGCTTTGAGGGGATTCAGTCCTCATTATAGTGCCTATCTTGTTGTGTTTAGTCCAGGTAAAGCCATGCTGAGCTCCTCATATAGCTGTGGTTACATACATGGCGGAATTATAGCCCATAATGTAGGAGAGTGGAAAGGAGAGCAAGGGAAAAAGCACCTTGTTAACACGGAAATTTAAATGCCTTTAATATTTTCCTTCAGAAAATTCTCATCTGTTCTTGCTGTCACCTGAAGCAGTGGGGACAGGGGGAAGCCAGGACGTGCAAAGGTGTGCAAAATACTGAAGAAGTCCAAAAAAAGGTGCAAAAATGAGGAAAGTGGGGGAGAACTAATCCAGAGAAGTGTTCACTCCTGAGATAAAGGTAAAAAGGGAGCCTGCACTGGAGATGGGCATTCAGAAAACCCTGGAGGCATAAGGATGAGACGCTGGCCTTGGTGTGCCCCAGCACGAGAGCAGAATGAGAAGCCGCTTGCTGCAACGCAAAGGCAGAAAATGAAGAACCCATAAAAACGTAGTAAATTGTTTACGCAGCGCAGAGCCAGCTCGCAAGATCTGCCGTTGCTAAAGGTCACCCAAGCAGTCGGCCTGGCTGAACTCTTAAAACAAAACGAATAATTTTAGGAGTATTAATATTTGTACTGTAATATTAGTATTAGTATTTAGGAGTCTTTAATATTTGTGTTATGCTCTAGATAGGTGGTCTGGGCGGTGGGTGGGAACTGGCTGGCAGGCCGCACCCAGAGGGTGGTGGTAAATAGCTCCTTTTCAAACTGGCAATGTGTCACAAGTGGGGTCCTCCAGGGATCGATATGGGGCCAAATGCTGTTTAGTATCTTCATAAGTGATCTGTACGATGGGATTTCTTCCCTGTGAGGGTGGTGAGGCACTGGCACAGGTTGCCCAGAGAAGCTGTGGCTGCCCCCTCCCTGGCAGTGCTCAAGGCCAGGGTGGATGGGGCTTGGAGCAACCTGGTCTGGTGAATGGTATCCCTGCCCAGAGCAGGGGGGTTGGAACTAGATGATCTTTAAGGTCCCTTCCAGCCCAAACCATTCTATGATTCTGTGATTCTATGATCAAGTGTACCCTGATGAAGTTTGTGGATGATACCAAACTGAGTGGGAAAGTGGACGCTTCAGAAGGGATAGCCACCCTGCAGGAAGACCTTGATAGGCTGGAAGAGTGGGCTAACAAGAATCTTATGAAGGTCAACAAGGACAAGTGTAAGGTCTTGCACCTGGGAAAGCATAATCTAGGAGGACAGCACAGGCTGGGATCTACCCAGCTGGGGAGCAGCTCTGTGGAAAGCAACCTGGGGATCCTGGTGGACAACAAGCTCAGTATGAGTGAACAGTGTGTGCTGCGGCAAAGCAAGCCAACAGGAGGCTGGGTTGCATCAACAAGGGCATCACCAGCAGAGACAAAGAACTCATTATCCCACTCTACTCAGCACTTGTCAGGCCACCCCCAGAATACTGTGTTCAGTTTTGGCTCCCGCTACGCAAAAAAGATGTGGACAGGCTGGAGAGGATCCAGAGAAAGGCCACAAAGATGACCAAAGGACTCAGAAGCCTGCCATATGAGGAAAGGCTGAGAGAACCGGGTTTATTCAGCCTTGAGAAAATAAGGTTTAGGGGAGACCTTATCACCATGGTCCAGTGTTTAAAGGGTGGCTACAAAGAAGATGGAGACTCCCTTTTTACAAGGAGTCACATCAAAAAGACAAGGCGTAATGGGAACAAGTTACTTCTGGGGAGATTCTGACTGGACTCAAGGGGAAAATTTTTCACAATGAGAACAATCAGCCATTGGAATAATCTCCCCAGGGACGTGGTGGATTCCCCAACATTGGACACGTTTAAGATTCAGCTGGACAGGTTCTGGGCCATCTTGTCTAGACCCTGCTTTTGCCAAGAAAGGTTGGACCAGATGATCCTTGAGGTCCCTTCCAAGCTGGTATTCCACAATTCTATGAATATTTAACACCCAGACAATAAAGATTCACCAAGCACCATGCTTGAAGGAAGGAGCTGCCTGCCCCCAGGCCTGGGGGGACCTCACCTGCACAGTGGTCAGGAGGGTTCGAGCATTCTCCCAGCTCACCCAGATCAAAGCAGCTCCTGGAATTTATGCCTGAGCACAAGCTTTTACAGAAAATACATATCTTGAAGAGAATTAAAGGCATCTATACAAACTACCCCCTGCTCCCGAGGAGGAATGGCAAGCCCAGCTTTTTAAAATGTTATTGTTAAAGATAATCATTACCTGTCCATGAGTGTCCCCTGGAGGTTTTCCAGGTTCAAACCGTACAGCTAGTCCAAAATCGGCTAGCACTGCCGTCAAGTCGTTCTTCAGCAAGACATTTTTACTCTTGAAGTCCCTACGGACAAGCCAAGAAGCAAGTTTGGGAAGGGTTTATTACAGCACGTGTCTAAATCACATTGCAACACACCATGTTGTTAAGTCTATAGGCTTAACAGCCCCCAGTAAATCAGCTCCTTCCTTCCTTCCCCAGCTGCCCAGCACGGCCAGTGCTGGCAAATTTGGCTGCTCCTCGCTGCCCTTGTCCCTGAAGCACAACGAAGCAGCCCTGTGCTGCCCAGCACAGACTCAGCCAAACTCTATGGTGGACTAACCTCAAAATAAAAGCAAGGAGTGCTATTAAGGGGGTGTTTTAATTAGAGCAGGCAGTATAAGACTCCATTTCTTGCTTTGAGCACCAGCTGTGGACCCCCACCTCTGGGCACTTCTTACATTTCCCACTCCCAACAACAAAAGTAGGACAGGTTAAGGGGGTGCATTTACTTTTTATCCTAGAAAGGATGTTTTCTCCTATCTACAAAATTAGATCTTCCTGGAAAATAGCAGATGCTGGTGAGACTCTCTTCACCCTGGCTACATGCTTCAACAGACTTTTGCCATAGTCATCTATTACACTTATGTTTTAATTGCTGGATTGATCTTCCCTGGAGAATTTGGAGGGCTGGAAAGCGAGCAGGGAAGGGGGTGAGCCCGCACTCAGACAAGCTGTCAGGATCAGACCGGGCAGCTGACGGGCAGGTGTCAGCGTTTGCAGTAGAGATGGTGGGTCTGTGCTTGAAGGTGGCTTAAAGGGGACATTTGTGTCAGTTCTGTGCTGCAGCGGAATTGTTTCAGGGCAACTCAGGTAAATCCGCAGGGGCTGGAAAGCAGGGGTGAGGAGTGGAGGAGGGTCACACCGAGATGCCTAACCAGTCGAGCCCTGTTCCCTGGGCTTCCCGCATTTTCATCTGAATAGGAATGTTTGGCAATCTAATTAAATTACAGACCTTAGACAGCAGATGGCAATTGTCCTGTATGCTCAGCATTACAATTTCCCTATCATCAATTCACTCGGTGACCCTGCTGATTGCAGGACATTGCAGGCCTGCACAAAATAATTAATGAGGGCAGATACAATTGTTCCGCACTAGAGAGACCTGTCAAAATTCTTTGGGAAGAGAGAAACTGCTGGACCATAGAGAAGGGCTGCTCACTGCTGCACTGGATGCCAGAGCACCACTTCAAGCACCGCGAGCAAAAATTGTCCTGTACCACCCAGCCCCTGATGCTGAGCTTAAAAAATCAGAAGAAAGGCTTTTTCCTTTCTAAGCTAAACACAGCATGATGGGCATTTCTGGCTTCAGGATCAAGACAGGGCAAGTGGGTGTGAAGTTGGAGAGCATCATGCAACCAGGGAACCCCAGCAGAAACCAGCTTCCATCACCTCAGGGGGACACAGGGGGGTTCTAGGGACACAGTACAGTTTTTCAGAGCCTGCAAAACATTTGTACTCCTCCCTTACACAGAAAAACACCATTTACCTAATACTTGTCATCTCAGAGACTGAATGCTTCCTTGCGATAGCAGTTTCCCCACACATCCAGAAAACAGCCATCATCTAACGACACAGATAAACTCCTTTGCTCTGTCAGCATTAGGGGATTATGCCCTCCAGGATGGTACAGATTGTACACGAGATTTTTGCAAGAAGGTGGCTGAACAAGGAACATGCAGAAATTATTAGGCAGTCTGCCTGAACAACCCATTTCCAAAGTGAAGCGAGATGTAAACCAGTATTATTGTATGGGCATTTGCTGCTGCTGTTCACCCGCTCTGCCCTTTGGGCATGCAACAGTTAACTACCACCTCTTGATACATGATGCAGGGATTTCCCTTTGTCCTTCCTTTTCCACCCCTATTTCCATACATTTCCCCATTTTTCCATGCTTTCCTTTCTTCCACAAACCACCTTGAACTGGCAAGTGTGAGCTGCAGTGCAAATGTACACAGGACAGGGAGAAAGGCCTGATCCAAACCACGCCAAGTAGAATTCCCACTAACACCGTATGCATTAGACCATCCTACCACAGTCACTGATAAAGGAAAGAGACCTGAAAAGAAGAAAATATCTTTTTCCGTGTAATGCTTCAACCTAGGGAATAAGAGACCGAGCGGACTACGAACGATGGGTGTGTTAACTCCATTCAGACACCAGAGATTTTATTTTCAGCTTCCACGTGGGGGCACTTTCGCACCAACAAGCGATCCCATAACCTTAATCCTCTTTGTAGTGCTGGGGGCCAGTAAGGAGTTAGCTGAATCCCTGCCCAGCAGTGACTCGGGGAGTCCCACCTGGCAACCCCAGCATCTTCGCATGCATTGTGTGAAGCCATTCAGAAATACCACCCCCTCCCCCGATTTAAAACGTATTTAGTGTTTTCTTTTAAAACAAAAATAAAACTAAAAGCAGTGGGATAATCCAAGGAAAATCCTCTGTGTCCTGAGATCCCTCTTCCGTAGCTATGTGCTAAGTTCACACAAATGGTGCATTCTCCATCTTTTATCATTTGATAAATGGATGGGGACACTAATGAGCACGATCTGTTGCTTTAAAGTCTTTCTATAGCCTTTCTATGTTCCCCACCCTCAGGAATTTTCATGTATAAACCACTGCCTTTATTCCACAGGGACAAATGTCAGGGACACAGGGGTCAGCTCCAGGAGCAGCACAAAGGCAGCTGCAGGCTCTTTCAACAGCCCCCAGCTCTCAGAAACCTTCAGGTTCAGGGAGGGGGGTTGTTTTGGGGGCAGGGACACCCTCGCAAAAACAGGGATTATCTTGCCATACTGTAGATGGGGTACAAATTTCTGCAGCTGGACATGGGGTCTAAGTCCCTCCTAGATGGGTGGAGGGGGAGTATGGCAGCGGATTATGGTGTGAGCCCACATAAATCCCTCCTGGAAAACTCCCCCCTCCTGCCATGCCACTAGCAAACCCATCCAGGGCGACCAGTGTGGGATTTGGGAGAAGGGCTAAAACAAGTATCATCGCAATGAGGATGGTTTAACTCACAGCTTTCTGGATTCCCACTGTCCCCACAGCGCTGCCACCCAGGTGGGCTGAAGCGTGTGCCAAGATGCCTCAGAGGCACCGTGGTGCCCGCTCTGTCTCTCACAAGCACCCTGGCACGATCTGGGCACTGTCAAACTACAGTGAAAAATAAAGAGCAGCCATTTTCTGCATTTCTGCAGTTTCTCCATTTCCTACCTAATGACCAAAAGCTCTGTGGGAAGTTATCAGTCTAAAATACTTAGGGAAACACAGGGTGCAAATCTTGGTACAGCCATAGAAATAAACAGATTACAATGTGATTTATCAAGCACAGTCCTTTCAAAGAGCAGTTCTGCAGCAACCAGATTTCCCTTCCCACTACATGTCAAGAGAACAGTTGATGGAAGAGGGAAGCACCTACCCTTCAGGCATTTGCCATAAACCACTACCAACCATACTGACTGTTTCACGGACAAGACTCTCACTTGCCCTTCACCATTTCATATCTGGTTGAAAAAAAATAGTCTTAGCACAGGATTTGTTGAGTTAAAAGGCATTTACTTCCTCAAAGCACGACCTCCTCCTCCATTCAACAGCATAATTTCGCAGAGGTTGTGAACATTTGAACGCAGCACTTGAATGGCATCAGTGAAAAAGGCAGTACCTGTGTGCTATAGCAGGCTTGTGTCCTTCACCTTTGCACCAAGGGACATCTTCATGAAGGTAGGACAAGCCACGGGCCATCGTTTCTGCAACATGGCAGAGCTCATTCCAGCTGATAATATTGCCCTTCAGGTAATCCGTCAGAGAGCCCTGTGAAACAGGACATTATACATTCTCAATCGCAGACCCTGCTACGTGACAGATGTGCCAACTCATCAGTTCAGAAAATTGTTTTAATGAGTGCTTGAGAAATTTGAACCTTATTTAATAGAGGGAAAAAATCACTAGTGAAAGTAAAAAAGAAGAAGAAATAAAAACCAGAAGCCTTCATGAGTCCTCACCCCTTGACAGCACAGAAAGTATCTGAATGTCTAAAAGGAATCTACTAATCTGCCAGTAAAGAGGAGGGAGGTAAGAAAGGGACAAAATAATCTCAAAACAGAGCATTTCATCTAACCTAAGGGGAAAGCCTTCCATGCAAGATGATGATGCATTCTATCAGCTGGTTGTTGCAGTAGACCTTGGATTATACAGAGGGATAACGCTGTTGGCTCAACCCCGGATTTGTGCATGTTTGTTTTATTTTCAGTGTTAGTCATGTTTGATAACTAAAGCAATCCATGAAACAGGAGATATGTCCCGAGCTTCAAAAGGAAACACAAACCCTCACAAGCAAGGGGTGAGTTGGGACTGCCACGGTCTGCAACACCCAGCTCCCATGTGCTCATCTACACACGTTAAGAGACGGTGACCACTACATACGTGAGCTGTGGCCTTTTGTGCCTCTCTTTCCCAAAGTCCCACCTTTATTAATCCTATGTTTGTGTAGGAAAGCCTTGAAAGCTAAAGGAGGGGCCTTTGAAGGAGGGGAGCAGAAGCACTTCTCCGCTACCACTGAGCCATGGCTCACCAGGGACAGACTGGATGGATTACAGGGGAGATTCTGGGAGAATATTAGACACCAAATCCTGCTGCTTCACAACCAGCCACCTCTCCGCCTTCCCAAAATGTACGTGCAATGATACGTTACCTTGTCGTGGAAAGCTGTGATCAGCCAGAGCTCCGTCTCTAGGTTTGTCCCTCTTTTCTCTGCTGCGATAAACTGCAAAAGGTTTTCATGCTTCATGCCAGGAGTATTGAAAATCTCCCTCTCACTCTGCCAAGACTGCTTATCCTAAAGCAGGGAGAAATGCACCGTCAAACATCATGCTTCCCTTTAAAGCAAACAGCTCTTTCAGCTCAGTCATAGCTGCTCATGGTCCTCTTAATATCATCCTCTGGCATTCAGGTGTGATGTATCCCTTCAAAATGAGTCTTTTTTCATAAGGAGTAGATGCTGGAGAAAGACTGGAAGTTGCTATTTTCAGTCTCTCTTCTCCAAAATTATCCTCAGCTATTCCTAAAGCACATGTGTGGGGAGGAATCCAAACTCAACCTCACTCACAAGATTTCCTAAGGATGCTTGAAAGAATAAAGCCTGTGCATACAGCACCCAGACCTGCATTGTAGCCGTAATTGTTACAACTGCAAAGTCTAATCTGGCCTCTATTGAATATTTACTAGTAGGTCACAGCTGGCTTGGACAGAAGATGTGCAGATCTCCTTTAGCAGCGTTACAACAACAAATACAGGGCAAAAAATTAACAAAGAAGCAGATAGCGGAGGAGCATGAAGATGTTTCAGTCATTCTTCCTTCGTTTGACTTTTGATTGCTTTACTCTTTCCATCTGCAATTCCTAGAGAGTCAAGTCAGGAGTGTTCAAAGGTTTCCTAGAGCAGAAGACGTGAGCTGACAGAAACGCTGCAGTGCAGTTAGCTTTCACAGCGCTGGGGCTGTGCCTCTGTAAGCCGTAAACTGTTTACTAGGTTTGGGTTCGGATTTACTGTCTGCCAAGGCAGGACACACAAAGCCGGGGCTTTGGTCCTTTGGGTGCGCTTTGGGCATCACAGCTGCACACTGCCTTGCACACTGACTTTAACAACACATTTGCAGCAAAGTTAAAATACCCTGTAGATTTCAAAATGTGCTTGTTTTTGCCTTTCTTGCAGCAATTACTATTAAAGGAAGCATTTGGTAATGAGATACCACAGAGAAAAGTGTAGGAAGGGAGGGTCCTCGAACTTTTTCACCAGCAGAAGAGTCCAAACGCATCTTTGCTATGGTCTTAAAAACACCCCCATAAGCACTTAGAGCATCTCAGTACCACTGAGGAAGCCCGGCGAGTGAGAACCTAATGCAATGCCCTTCTCACCTGAATAGGGAAGATTTTAACTGCTACGTAGTCATTCATCAGCTGAGCCTTCCACACGCAGCCAAAGCGTCCCCTCGCCTTGATCTCCAAGAGCTGCAGAGGCTTTAGGCCAACCAGGGGAGAAGGGGGTGGTGGGCCAGGGTCCTGCATGAGAAAAACATTGTCACCAGCTGAAGCTGGACTGTAAAACAAAGGGAGGGGAGGAATGAAGAGATTGCTTATGGGGAAAGAGGTGTAAAGAAGTGACATTTTATTTAATACAAACTATTTCGATGTATTGTTTGCAGCAAGAGCAGCCCAAAATTCCCTATCTTGCTTTGTAGGGTATTTGTATAGAACATATGTAACAATCTACACCTCCAAGTGTCACTTTGTGTGTCAAACTACTGCCTGCCATCCTCTGGCAAAACCTGAATCCTCCTGTGTTTTCAAAGCAAAAGCTATTTTGGGCTGTAAAACACCAACGAACTCAAGGCTACCTCCTGCCAAAAGTAGAAACTTTTTGATCTTTGTGACCCAACAGCCAACTACACCTAAAACCTCCCACTGCTTTGCGCTTCATTAGATGTGTTTCACATAAGCCTAGCAATGGGCAGTAAACAGGTCTGTCAGCATCATAAAGATCTTATCTGCTTAAACTCTGCATTTGTCCAGGAGAACAACACAACCCTGCAGGACCCATGGGCTTGGAGCTCTGTCCTATCTGCTTTCAGATGGGAAAGGTTCACAGTATGGGCTGTAATGGGCAGAGGAGGGAGGGAGAGGTAGCTGCTCAGCCCTTCAGAAGATACTAGAAGGCTCAGGGCACAGCAGAGCCAGCAAGGACCAGTTCTCGATGGCTTTGGGCAATGAGAATGACCTCCTGCATGCATTCTCTGATGGCTCATAAAAACTGAGCTTCCACAGGGAAAGCATCTCCCCTCACCCCATAAAGCTGGTAGGAACTTCATCATCTCTAATCTCTGATCCTCTGCAAAGTTGGCTGAAATCAGGCAACTGGTCTGAGAGTCTGGACAGAAGGGTAGCCACCAAGCAGGGCTGTGTAACTCCATCCCTTAGGAATTTCGGACATGGTGATAACCCTGTCTAAACCCCTCAGCTTCACAGGGGATGCTAATGCCACCACAGAGGCCAACTCTACCACCAACTTCAAAAAGACAGAGAAGAAAAGTTAAGCCACCTGAAAAGAGAAGCAAAAGTGGATGTGAACATATACTAAGCAGCTTCCGTGCCCTTTGTAAGGTCCAAATAAAGAGCAGCAACTCCCTCACCTCATTAATGTCAACGTGCCCGTAGGGAGGCTTGCGGTGACGGTACATCCAGAAGGCCAAGAGGATGGCCATGGAGAGGACAGCAATGGGGAGCAGCGAGTACACCAGGATGTTGAGCAGGGAGGGTGTTGGTGGCGGCGGCTCGTATATAACTGCGACAAAAGAGCAGGGTAAATGAGGGAAAGGACCCTTCAGGCATGAAACAGCACTGTCAGCTGCATGTCCAGATACAACCAAACCCCATCTTTCCTTCTACTCCAAAGCTGACAATGCTTAGTGGCCTGTCTCGTCACATCCAACAGCATTCATAAGGCTCCGTGGTTTACCCTTTTCCATATGGCTATTAGTAATGGAGTTACAATGGTCCAAACCACACTTTGCAAGCCGAGCCTCCATCTGACCTTTATTTAAGATGGGTATTTCTTGCTGGGATACGTAAAAGCAGGAAATTTTCCCCTCTTAACCCTTCCAAATGTATTAAGTAAGCACGAAATCCCTCGCAGCGTTGCTTTGCCTTTCACAGTGATTGACAAGATGTCAGCTTTTAGTAAAATGCTGCCGGAGCCACAATCAAATGCACTATTCCCACAGTAGTTCTTGTTCCAAATTACATCAGTGCAGTTGAGACACAAACAATGGGAATACTAAATGGAGCCATGTTGCTATGTTGGAGACAGGGAAGGAAAAAATAGCAGGACTTTCCAAATTAAACAAAAAACTGTGAGACAAAGAATATTTGCTACTAGGTTGCTACGGGTACATTAATAACAGGAGATAATAAAACCCATGTAAACAATTAAAAACCTAACAGGAAAGCCCAGGAAAATCTGATAACAGTCTACTGGAACATCTCAGTAAATGCAGGTAGTTGATAGAAAAAGAAACCATCCTAAGGAAAAGATCCACCTGCTTTAAGAGTTTTTATTGAATGACACTTTAGCAAGCATACAGCTAAAAGAAACATCATTTTTCTATTAGCCTCTGAAGAAGGACCTGCTATTACTTTTCTTCCTTGAAGTACATCCACAAACTCTGAAAGCTGACACAAACATCCATTCCCTTTCAATCCCCAGACCAACAAAATAGCGATCAAATGCAAAAATCTCAGATGCCCAAGGTATTTGGAGACCTGTGACCTATGAGAATTAATGAAGGTGCCAAATACCTTTTAAGAGTTTGAGTCTTGATCCATGCTGTATAAATCACTCTGCCATCTTGCCCTTGTGCAGGATTTTGTTTTGTAATATCCCACTGTGAACGTCCACCCTAAAGAAAACCTAATCCTTACTGATGGCATCCAAGGTGTTGGTACAACACACTTTACTCACAGAGTGAAACAACCTTAAAAAACTATTCTTAAAGAACTGCAGGAGAATGATTTCTGGACGTTGTAACCAAAATGGTACTGTGTGCCCTGTCGATGTATTTTTTGCTCAACATCCAACAACTCAAAGTCACCACAAACTAAGTCTAGAGGAAAAGACCCCAACTCCCCGCCCACCCAGTCACTCACCTTCTGGGCCGGTGACTTCAGGCAAATGGGTAAATTTCTCATTGCAATAGTTGCCCTCGCAGCAGCAGAAAAATACTTGAGGGTTTTCTTCTGTGGCTACACACTCCTGCCTGCGTCAGGGAGGGACAGACATGTCAATGAAGGAAAGAGAAAAACAAAGTCAGGCAACTCCTGCCTCTTGTCTTTGGGAGCCGACATGCCCCAAATTGTCTTCTCCACGCGCCTTCGCCTGCTCCTGCGCTGCACAGATCGGCAGTCTCCTCTTACAGAAAACAACTGGGCACTCCAATACCCCAGTGGATAGCAAAGACTCTTGAAAAGACCGTAAAGGAAACAAATGCTTCCATATGTACTGAAGGCATTAGATGGTGAGTAATAAATAACAGCCCCTGCCACTAACTGAATGAGACGCAGAAAAATGATGGAGAAATGTTCATTCCCTGAACAGTGTCTTTCCCGCAGCCCCTATGTATGCTGTCACGGGAGAGAAGTATTTGATCATGCAATTAAAAGATTGGGCCATAAAGCACATAGGACGAGGGCTGAGCTAAGACTGCCCTCACAGCCTCAAGCATCACTAACTCCATGGACTAGAAGGGCACCGGACACCAGCGGCAACAGTCCTGCTGCAGGCAGGAGGGAGGCTGAAGGTTTGGGGTGCGGGGTGGTTTTTTTTGAAGTTTAATTTTCAAATGCTATCTCCTTCTCCTTTAAAAAACTTAATCCTGCACAAAAGCCTTCAAGAAAATGAGGTTGCAGCTCTCATTTTTTGTATTTGCCCGTTATCCAGGTAGCACTACAGCCTTCTCAGCACTGAGGTTTCCTTCCACTCTGTGCAGGGCTTTAGGAGATTTCCATGGATCAGACCAACTCCGCTTCCACACATCCTCCCTCTCCCACAGATCAATGCCAAAAGAGAAGTGCAGTGACTTCTGCAGTGTTGTAGAAGTCATTTCTTTCTCTTTCTTAAATGCCCACTTCCCTTCCCTTCCATGGCACCCTCTCCTTTTAGCTATTAGGGTTGCAGAGCTGCTCTCCTCAGAGAACTGTATCAAACTATTTCCTGAAGCCCAGCTAAATTATATGCATAACTTCCTTCCTTCGACCACTCGGAGGAAGTAGCAAAACAATCATATGTGTTTGACATTATTACTCATTTATGAACCCATGCCAAGCCTCCCTTTCTGTGGTATCACTGACATACTGCCACGAGAAGAATGGAAAGCGTCCTCTTCAATCAACACAGGGCAGTTTTCAGCGCTTTATTCCTTTTGGGGGAAAAAAGCGGCTATAGCCGAAATGTCTCCTGCAAGGTCTCAGCTGGGAAGGACTTGGTTTGTTTTTCAGGCTTTTATTTTTTTAAACTTCAAAGAAAAAAAAGCAGCTATTTGACTTATTCAAATGAACAAAGACGTTTCAACAAGTTAAGCAATGTTTCCAGATGCTTTTTCGTGAAATCAGATAACAAGCCGTTTGGATTTAACAGCATCAGTATTGGAGTCTTCAATAGAAAACACATCCTTTGCTAAATCTGTTGGTTAAGAAATCAAGCTAATGAGTGAAAACAGCCTGCTCCACATCTGCAATTCATTATCCCTGTCTTTGAGTTGGTGTGCACTCAGGGCAGCCATCCAGGTACATATGACATGTTATACTTAGCAAATATTACAAATGAGACAGTGGGGGAGAATGAC